TAGCATGGCCGTAACTTTTAACAACTTTTTTTAAACTAGTTAGGGGTAGAGCAATGAAGAGAAGGATTGGAAGCAACTTGTCTTTTAACAATAAAATTTTTTAACATTTTGTGGGAATACCTACATTTAAGTATAGAGCGATATCGTTTTTAAGGGTCGCATAAATTTCCCTATAAGTGTCAAACACTTATAGGTAAATTTATATTTTTATTTGTTTCATACATCATACATCCAAATAAAAAATGTTAAAACTTTAAAAATACGAAAGTTCAAACGTTTATATCGAAAATCAGTTTATCTACGGCCTCATGCACGAGTACGTTGTACATAGGATGCACATCGCTTAAATATTATAAATACGATAACAAAAATTAAGTAGTGTTTAGAATATTTATTAGAATTAAACGCTTTTCCATTATTATAAACAAGTTAAAATTTTGCTTAAAAGAAAGGTTTTTTATACTTTTTTTAGTTAGAAAACCAAACCTTTTCTCGGCAATTCTACAGAGAAAAGGTTTGGTTTTCTAACTAGGTTTCCGACCATGATTGTTCTAAGTGACTTCTACATAACGGGTTCTACTTTTTTATAGAAACGAAATTCTTTTCTATAGATATTTAAAAAACGATATTGTAAAAGACTTTTATAAGTTTATTTAATAAGAGGCGAAACCGAAACAACAAAGGCTCAAAATAAAAAAAAAATAATAAAAAAACCCTACTTAGTAAGTTCTATAAAATCTGTTTTTTTTTAAATTATGGAAAAAACTAGTTTTAGGTTGTTATATGCGGTTAGTATTTCAAAATGATTCTTTGTATCATTTTTAAACACAGGCTGATGAACAAATAATAATGTTCGCTTTGCATTTTTTGTTTAAATTGTATACAATTTTGTATGCTTCGTATCTAACAGTTTAGTAACTGACAGGTACAAGTTCCTTTAAAAACCTACTTTCTTGGCTCTAATTAAAATTTAAAAAAACTAACAACAGTTAAACGAAAAATATTACTATTGTTGATTAACTTTTCAATTTTTTTCATAATATTGATCCAAACTTAGCTTAAAAACTATCATGGAGATCAACAAGGTTTCATTTTTTTTTAAAAAGACTTAATACGCTAAAGGATAAATCTAATTTATAAAATTAAATAGGTAGAACATGCAAGATGTGTACATACATCTACTAAGGGTTTCGGTTTGGCCAGTAAGTTAAAAAAATTTGTATTAAAAAGTGTATATTCCGGTCATCAATTTACACAAAACTTCAAATGTCGGAATATGTTTTTATCTATCAAAAATTTTTGTGGTATTTTTAATAGACCTCAAAGATATATAGGAGCAATTTTTCTGATAAAACTAGCATCTATGTTGTAAAATATGTATTTAATGTCATTAGTTTGTTATTTCATATCTTTAAACTTTTTTTTAAATCAGATATTTTCCTAATAATTATTAAAAATTGATTGAACAAAATTTTGGTAATTTAATGGTAAAAATAATTTTTAAAAGTAGAAAATATCAATCAACAAACAATTATCTATTTCGACTATTTTTATTTAAATTACTTAAGCTTATAATTTATAATATACTCTATGAATATTTAACTAATAAAGAAATGTTGTAGAGAAAATAGTTTTCAAAGAACTCATCCAGCTGAACTCGCAATAGTTGAACTAGTCAATGTTATATTTGAGGCTCTATATAATGGCTTAATTACATAAGAATTTTTTATTGATCTGTCCGAAGCCTTCAATTAGCGACTTTCAAAAGGGGTGGTTTTGGCGTATGAGATTTCGGAGCCAAATATCGCAAATTATGTCATACTGCTAAATAAACTTTTACATGAAACTCAAACAAATTAACTTTCGTTTAAAGATTATCTTACAACAGAAAGCAGTTTATATACAAGGTTTCAAAAAAATAGTTTAACACTCAATAAGATGTGTGTTTTACTATTTTAGCCATTGCTTAATTTTTGGGTTCATTATACCATTATTTTAATTTACCACCAATGTTCTTACACCACATGACCTATATTTATCATCAAACTTTATATTTTATATTTTCAAATGACTCTAATTTCTTTTAAATCAACAATTGTATACATTTAAATGGGGGTTTGAAGGTAACAAATCCATATTGAATCTACTAAAAACTAAATTTAAATTTTAGTTTTATAAGTTAGGTAAAAGTGATTCTGCCCCTTTGAATTTAGCAAACTTTATCATAAATAAAACTATTAGGATTGTTTGGAAAATTTTTGAGGTGTGAAGTGGGGTAAAAATTTACAATATATTTCATTAAGGCCGGATCAAGGGTCTTGAAAACCAAGTGCTAAAAATTATAAGAAATCGGTATTCCTAAAAAAATATATATTTAAAAATGAACGCAGTAAAACATGAAATTACTTTTTTATTTTAAGAGAACTTTTCTTACTTTCACGTTGGCAATGCCACTATGTTAAAATATAAATTTAAAGATTTTAAAATTCATACTTTTGCCTTTATTTCAAGCACATTTCAACTTGTTTATGAAAATGGAAAAGTGTTCAATTCTAAATTTGTCACTACTATTTAAAACCACTTCACTTTTGCTTTTCTCAATACTTGTACTAAAAAAAATTAAAATTCTTGTATTTTAATGTTTGTACTACTTTGGAATAATGCCAAGAATATCATGATAAAGCTTAAGTTGTTCTCTTTATTTTTTAAATTTAAGTTATGCTGATAACATAAGTTATGCTCTTTCCACCTTTTTATCAATTTAATTTTTTTTTTTTTTAATTTTTCTGGTTTGATTAGCATTCTCATTCCATTCTTAGTCATATTATTTCATGAATTAATAAGCTCGTCATTTTTTTACATTTTTATGCCCTTGCAGAAGTGATATAGAAGTCCCAACAAACATTTAAATTTAGTTTTTAATAGATTCAATATATATATATATATATATATATATATATATATATATATATATATATATATATATATATATATATATATATATATATATATATATATATATATATATATATATATATGTATATATATATATATATATATATATATATATATACATATATATATATATATATATATATATATATATATATATATATACATATATATATATATATATACATATATATATATATATATATGTATATATATATATATATATATATATATATATATATATATATACATATATATATATATACATATATATATATATATATATATATATATATATATATATATATATATATATATATATATACATACATATGTATATATATATATATATATATGTATATATATATGTATATATATATATGTGTGTGTGTGTGTGTGTGTGTGTGTGTGTGTGTGTGTGTGTGTGTGTGTGTGTGTATTATTTCAAACTTCTTTCCTTTTTGCAGATGGTGTGTAAAGAGTGCAATTTAATAAAGATAGGTTTAGAGGCTAAAAATGCTCTTAACAGTTTAAATTATACTTTTATATATATTTAAATTATATAGTTTAAATTTTCGAGTTATATTTGGTTTTTTTACGAATTTAGTCAGATTGTAATAAAAAGATAAATACCTTAAAAAAAAACTTTTTCTTATTTTCTTTAAGCAGATTTTAAATTTTGTTGCTTCTTACTTTATTTTTGAGGGGGGAGGGAGGGAAGTTTATATCAAATAAAATTTTAATTATTTTTTCTATAAGTAATAGAATAAAGATTTCTTCACAGTTAAATTGAGAAACTTTATTCTACGAATTGTTCTATTTCCCTCATTTTTATTTGTTGAATCGCCTCTGTTAACACAATAGTTTTATTATAAACTGACCTTTTTTTAAGTTCATATAACTCGTCAAAAATTCGTACAACAGAAAAAATTGAGGCACCGTTAAAAAGAGCTGAATCTCCTCTTTGTTATGGAATTGGAAGCGGATTATTGGTATCACACAACCAGTTACACCATCTGTTGAACCGGACAGCACTTTTAGCTTACGCGACGCAACTCACACAAAAATGCTTAGGCATTAATTAACAAATTTTCGCTAGTCCGCGCTATCGATATTGAAGTGCCTACTTTATAATATAGTTTACAAAGAATAAAATTAATTTCACTACTATTATTTTCACTACTATTAATTTCACTAATAATAATTTCACTACAGAATTTTTTTTGAATTAAAGTTATATTAACGTTATGCCGATTTTTCATTGATATATTGGTGGATTTTTATTTGACATATTGGTGGATTTTTATTGGTTTTATCGGTTATTCTGTCTGGGAAGTATGTGTTTTTACTTGTAGTAAAATTTCAAATTAAAAGTTACCTTACTATCAGACTGCATTGAAAAACACATCAATACCAAAAGTAATACTTGACGAAACTTTGTTGACATCTGTAGTTCCGTTAACACCATAATATTTTGAATAAATTTTCAAACGGAGTATGAATTTAATTATAAAGTAAAGTATATCTATGATGATTACATCTATTGAAAGTAAAACAAATTATAAACAACATGTACTGTTAGTTAATGCATAATTATGTCGCATTAAAGTTGCCAAAAAAGTATATGTCATTAAATTTTTTGCTGTAAAATAACCTATAACATACCTTAATAAGGTTTACCACAAACTAATTTAGTGTCTAATATGTCGCCAAATGGCATTTTTTAACTTCTATATAAAATAAATGTTGCTATTAACAACTTATGTTAAAGGTTGTACAAATAAAAAAAAAAGAAACTTTTTGACATCACTTACAAATTCTCTTTTTACTACTGAAATTAAAAAAAAAAATATTTTAAAAGTTTCTAATCTGAGTTTTTACGTTTTGCTTTAAATATTTATTTTACTTTTATTTTGAACAATTGCACATTACACGTTTTTTTAATTTAAATGTTGATTTAGAAAATGCTGTGGATGTTAAAAAACACAAGTATATTTTTTCTGTAAACATTGGTTTATAATCTTCTCTGAAGCAAATATCGATTATTAGCGTAAAATAAATATTTATCTCGCGTACATACTACGGATTGGGTTTTAGACTAAGTATTGTCAAGTTTGTATCTAATTCGACAAGCATTTCATTTGAAACAATTTTTCAGAAAGCTGCTACAACAAACCGTCAAACTTACTTAACTTGTTCAAACGAGATGAAGCACGGTTGGTTGGTTACAACAAACTCAGCCGTCAAACTTCGCCCACTTTGCGCAGATAGTTTTGTGCAGCCTGATTAAACTTTCAAACTGAATTTTATGCTTACAATAAAAATTAGCAATTAATTTTTTTATGGTAAATACATCAAAAAGCGTGATCAGCAATTCAATATAACTTCAATATCTAATTTTTATTTTTATTTTTAGTTTGATGAGTAAATTTATTTTTTGAAGAACTGTTGTATTTGTTAGTTGACCTGACCTCGACGCTTCAAAAAAGCTAAGAAGTTCTATTTGTCGAGAGTTTTACATTTTATTAAGAGAAATGAGAGACTAGCGAGAGACTAGGAACTTCTTTTTAAAAATATAATAACTTGAATGTGTGTTAAATTTTAAAACTTTATGAAAAGTATTGACTTCATTAGCGTTAGCAATGTTGCGCTATGAAATTATTTTTATTTTGGCGCTTCATTGTTGCTGCAATGGTAAGTACTGTTTATTACCATTTTTTGCTTAATTAAATAAAACCAGTGAGTAAAGGAAAATCTGAAAAATCTTTGAGATATGTTTCATTATTGCTAATGCGAAGTTAAAATAAACGTAGCTTAATTTGGGTTTTAGTGAAGGCTCGAATAAATGAAAATGACGAAATTCTTGCAGAAATTATTCCAACCACCAATCAAAAACAAAGGCGAAACCAAGTTAATGAGTATATTCAATCAAACAAACCAAACAACCAATATCAAAATTTAAACGGTATTTCTACAATTAATGTTCCAGTTAGTACAACAATAAAAGACGGGGCATTTAGTGGTAAAAATGACGCATATTCTATTGCTAGCGATGTTGACAAATACGGACTTTACGAATACACATCAGATAACACTGGGATGGCAGATCAACTTAGAAAACTTATTAATATAGTTCATCATGGCGACGAAAACGGAATGTCGCAAGACCATATATTAGAAAATCAAGCTAATCAGATGAATGCTAAAATAAATAGGTACATTGAAAGCAGTATGGACACAAGACCAACAATTGACCCGCTTGAATCACCTATTGGCTTCAATTCTGTTAGCCCAACAGTCGCACCGATAGTAAACAGCCAAAATAGCGACGTTGCAGTTATTACTATTCCTAACTCAATGACGATCGAAGATGAACATGGTAGAGAAATAGATACAATAAAAGAAGACAAATGGTTAAATGAGAACACAATTAAAGAGAACTATTCCGCAGATTTACAACCCGCTAAAAACGTTTCAGTAGATTTACTTAAGGAAACTGCTAATTTTGTTAGTCCACAAACTGTTACCAACCGAGAACAACCAAGACCAACCGTAAGTTTAATTCACCATGATCCTACAACATCTTTAACGTTCAAATTGTACAAGGCTTTAAAAACAAACAAAAATTTTTTGAAAAACGCTCAAAAGCTACTATCTAGTATGCAAGAGAATGAACTCAACACATTTGAAAAAAATAAATCTGCTTTGGATTTGATAAAAGATCCGTTGAGTACTGAATTGAAACAAAGTTATTCAACGAAAGTTAATGACATCAGACATGACGAAAATTTGCGTCACGAGTCAAAAGGCTTAATAGATAATACAAATATACGCTTGTTTAAAGTAATCAAAAAACTGTTTAACAACCAAGCAGAACCAAACACCGAAAGGGATTCAAAGCCATCACAAAAGAAATTGTTTAATCATGCGGAAGTTTTTAACCAACAACGAAAAGTAGAACTCGAACCAGATAGTAAAAGCAACGCAAAAGTTCGTTTAACAATAAGTAAAGAAACTTCTGAGAATCAAGGTAAATATTTTTTAATACAGTAAATTTTAATAAAATTGGTGGCGCAATTGTGTCGGTGACGTCATTTGCTATTTAAAAATAAGTAGTGTTTACAAACGTAGAAAGTGATGTTTTCATCAATTTAAACCATTTCAGATAATTTCTATTGACATGAACGAATTATTGTAAAACTAAATGTACATTGATATACTTTCGATATATGATTGAATAGTGATAAACTTATGTCACAAAAGTTTATTTCTTTTTAACTATTCAGTTTATTAGTAATCTCTACTTTAAATTTGCCTCAAATTCATTAAACTTTGTTAATGCTCTCAGTTCATCTGTTAGCTAGAATTTTGCTGCCTTGACAAATACATACTTTGGCGACCTTTTACACCAAATTTTAAATTTTTTTTAATTTATTTTTATCGAAAAATTTTATAATATATAGTTTCAAAAAGTTTTTTTATTGATATCAATTTTCTTTAACATAAATCATTACTTTTAATACATTAGTTATCCATAAAAAAAACATTTACCATAAAAAAACATTACCATAAAAAACATAAACAGTAACTTTTAATAATAATTAACTTTCCTTGCCTTAGTATTGGCAATTTTTTCAATTATATTATCAAAATTTTCGTCAATTCTATTTCAATAGACAGAAGTACTTCTGAAGATGTCCGTTCTTGGCCTGATGTTGATCGTAAATAGTTTTTGATTAGTTTGAATTTGCTCAAATTTTCAACCGTAGCTACATTTATTGGTAATGTACGAAACAATTTTAAAATTTTCTATGTTTGGGTATGATTTATTCAGTTTTCATTCTGGAATTGTTAAATAAAATATTACAAATTTACAATTCCAGATCGCATGTTTCACTTGTTTAATGGGTACAAATTGGTGGTTGAAACATTTCACTTGGGTACAAATTGGTGTTTGAAACTTTCACAATTTTTAATTGTTCTTTATCAATATCCAAATATTTTTTACATATCTATTCAACTTGCTTTTCTAATTGATCTTTTTTTTTTTTTTTTTTTTTTTTTTGCTTTTTAGTTTATATGTATTTGCTGTTTATATGATAAGAAAATATAATTACAATGAAACATTTACATACCAAAAAAGTTGATTTATAAAAACAGGCAGGGGCTCAAAGAAGATACGGATGACTAAAGTCACCACAATCTTTTCATAGACCCCCTATGTGGGCTTTACAAGTTTAAAATAGAATAAGATTGTTAAAAATACAATTGTACATTTCCAATATAATTAAAAAAAAAAAAAAAAACTTTCATAAATATTTACATTTAAAGAAAGAAAGAAAATAGTATTAATATAATTTTAACAATAGTCATTTAAAAAATGCTGAAATTTCTATATAATTTTAAATATAAAAAAAAAAGACATTTTTTTTTTCAAACCAAAAATAATGGAATTCGATGTTCATTTAGAAAAATTGCAAAATTATTTGTTTAAAATTTCATTTTTTATTAGAAACTTAAAGGAGTTTAATGATTTTACCGTATTTTAAATGTTTGGTTTTTTGAAATTTGTTCCATAGTTTCGGTCCACGGTATGCGATTCCATATTCAGAATAAGGAATCGCATACCGTGGACCAATACTATGGAACACATAGTTTCGTTAAGTTCATTCAAGTTTTTTTTAAAAAAAGAAATCTTAAAAACAGTTTCACAGGTTTTAAAGATTTCTTTTTTTGTTAAAAACTTGAATGAACTTAAGCAACTCACCGTACCTTTGAACCCTTTTTGAAAAATATTCCATACTTTTGGACCTCGATATAAAATGCTATATTCTGAATATTTATTTATTATCCTAGGCAGGGCCGGCGCGAGTAGGTGTTGCGTGGGTGCCATTACAACTTTTGCCGACTAAAAAAAAAAAAAAAAGGTCCTCGTTTTCCAAAATTTGCCAACTGTCATGCCGACATTTGCCGACTGTCTAACCTATATCGAAAGGGTCGACATTTGCCGACTAACTAGTTTAAAAGGGTCCAATTTGCCGACTAAGGTTCCAGTTTGCCGACTAAAAATCATTGATGGGAGGGTGTGACACCCCCCACACCCCCTATTGCGCCGGCCTTGATCCCAGGCAATTTATATGTGTTCAACATATTCGCTCTAAGATTATAGTTATCATTTTTATTTAACTCAAACTTATTATTAAAGCTTATAGGAGAGATATTGTGATTGTAACGATATATGAAAATTAAATGCTGGTAGATATTTATTTCAAATACATTTATCATTTTCATATCTTTCATCAAGGGATTAGCGTGTTCCCGCCTATTTTTAAACTAAATGATTCTACAGGCATGTTTCTGAAAAATATAAAGTTTCTTAAGTTTTGCGGTTTGAGTACTTGCCCATGAAATGTTTGCATAGCTGATGAGGCTGTGAGTTAACCCAAAGTAGATTAATTTAAGACTATTTGTATTGATGTACGAGCGAACTCGATTCATTAAACATATGATTTTGGTAATTTTTGAGTGGATATATATTATATGAGTAAGCCAGGATAATTTTTCATCAACAACGATTCCCAAGAATCTTATATTGGGTTGCTTTTTAATTAATTTATCATTTATAAATAGGTTCGGCAACTTTAGAGGAAGATTTTCTTTATGTGTTTTTTTATGGAAAAGTATATAGTTTGTTTTTTCGGCATTAAGTGAGAGTTTGTTAGCCTTAAACCAGTTATTTACTTTATTTAGTTCAATATTCATGTCCGCATATAATTTCTTGATATCGTTTTTGGTAAGAAATAAATTCGTGTCATCTGCAAACATGACTGAATTAAGTTTTAAGGATACATTACAGAAGCCATTTATATATATTAAAAAAAGAAGTGGACCAAGAATCGATCCTTGCGGAACTTCACATATGACATTTAACACTCCAGATTGGACATTATTTACATATTGTTTTCTGTTTGTAAGATAGCTTTTAATCCAATAATAAGTTTTAATAATTATTTATTTTTAATCCAATAATAAGTTTTATTAATTATTCAATTAGTTTATCATCTAAAATTAAATCTGGTAATTTTAAGGGAAAGTTTACCTGTTGTGATTTTTTATGGAATAGAGTATACTTTGTTTTATCTACATTAAGTGACAGTTCATTAGCCTTAAACCATTCATTGATATTTCTTAATTCATAATTAATGTCAGAGTAAAGTTGCCTAATGTCACTGTTTGATAAGAAAAGATTTGTGTCATTATCGCGTGAAGTTTTGCTTGGTCCCCTTGAATATCTGCCGCCCGGGACAAACTATCCTTTTTGCCCCTCCCTTCCTCTTGGCGGCTCTGCTTATAGATGTAATCTTAATGGACTGACTTGAAGAAGATGGGGAAAAATTATATAGAAACTGAATAGTTCCAAAAAATGACACAAAAGTATTTACACTACAATACAAAATTTGCAATTAATATTCTCAAATTCAAATCACAAAATTCACAGATAATTGACTCAAATTCGAATCACAACACTTTAATAAAAAACAGGTTTGATCCATCAAAATATAGCTTTACGTCTCTGCATTTGTAAAACTTCATTTAACACTGTTTCTTCGTCTGGCGCAAAGCAAACAACGATACAATTTTAAAGAACTTGTAAATTTGTTAAACTTATTAGGCATCATATCATTTTTCAACATATTTAGCTTATTTTGTGAATGTGTCGTAAATGCACGAATTATGCTTATTCTCGTAACAGCTATATAACAAAAACAATTTCTTTTTTGGGAAAAATAAATAATATGCATTTTATTTCCTTGTCAATTACATAAGTTAGGTTTATGTTATTTATCTGAAATGATTTTGACACCCTTTGAATGTTGCGCCCTTTGCAAATGACCATATCCTAACGCCTGCGTCATTATAATTTTATGAATATTTGAACAAAAGTAATCAAAAATATTAATTTGATTTTCTTGTTAAATAAGGTCACGCACAAACCAAAAATGCAAATTTAACATATATGAATATGGCTAGCGTGTCACGCACAAACCAAAAGTGCAAATTTAACATATATGAATATGGCTAGCGTGTCACGCACAAACCAAAAATGCAAATTTAACATATATGAATATGGCTAGCGTGTCACGCACAAACCAAAAATGCAAATTTAACATATATGAATATGGCTAGCGTGTCACGCACAAACCAAAAATGCAAATTTAACATATATGAATATGGCTAGCGTGTCACGCACAAACCAAAAATGCAAATTTAACATATATGAATATGGCTAGCGTTTCAAACGTGTAGCGTTTCAAACGTGTAGCGTTTCAAACAAATTTATGATTGTTATTTTATTTATGATCCTTATATTTTGATTCTAGTTATTTTTATTAAAGAGTTTTTAAAATAGTTTAAATAGTTTTTTGTTACATCATAACACTCTAAATTACAATTAAATATGAAACTAAAAACTTAAACAGCAGTTTTGCAGAGCACGAATAACATGTATCAAAAAAATCTCGTGAAGTATTTAGCGTAGTTAAAGCGTATTACGCAATTCTTATGCTTTGCTAAACAAAGTAATTTTAAACTGGAGGTTCTTTTTATTTTTACGGACGTCAAAAAGATCTTGAAAACACTTGATTCCTTTTCTCCAAGATCTTAAAGACACTTGGTTCCTATTGTTCTGCACACTGATTTGTTCTAGGAATTTCCAATCTCAATGGACCCTGATTCTAAAACATTTTTACTGAGTTTTACGTTTTTTTGTGCAAGCTACTACATAGCTTCCGATAATCACACAATTTATTGTACATTTGGTCAGTAAACTAATGGTCCGCAACGGCTAATTTCCATAAACTTCTTTTCATTCCAAATTCGATTTACAAAAAAAAATCAATACTAACGGTTTAATCTGTATGCATTTAAAAATTACAGGTTTTAGTGGCCACTTTTGCTCGTGTTTTTAAATTCATTTATATCAGGCGTGTTTATAATTGGAAACAGAAAAACATCACGTTAATAAAAACCGCGTGTGACCAATCAACTGAAGGTAATAGATATTGTTATTGAAGCGCTTTGTGATGAATATACTGCCTTGTTGATCCTCCTGGATTTTGCCTAGACGTTTGACTCAGTGTTTCACCACCTGCTACAACTCAAAATGACTCTTTATGATTACTGCAAAAAAATACCCAGCGGGTACAGAAGGTCTCCTGGACGTCTTAAGAGCGACCCACGGACTTATGACGTCTATAAGACGTCGTCCCACGAACATCTTTGCTCGCTGAGTAATTAAAATAATTTCACAGAAACAAAATACAGAGCGCAGTTTTGCTTGCGTTTTTTCAGATTGGAATAATTTGTTGACTATTGTGCACCATTATTCGGTCATTGGATTGCTTTTATTTCTTTTTTTATCCAGTGGTATGTCAGAAATTTCTGGAAACTATTGAAAACTGTTTGCCGATAGTCATCTAGAAGCCTAATTAAAAGTGTTCTTGATTTTGTACACACATTGCTAGATAAGTATCGAGTTTGTTTTTATTTCACAATTATGATCACGTCATTCATCTTATGCAAGTTCAAAACTTAGTTTCTCTTGTTGCGCTAAGACTTTATTTTGCGTTGCGACTTTATTTTTGGTATGTTTTTGGTGTATACTATATTAAAGTATTATTTTTTATAATTTTTTCTTATTTTTTGTTTGTTTTTGTAACAAAGATTAGATGTCCATAGTTGTACAATTTGAGATTTTACTCATTTATTTTATTTGTTTATTTCATTTAATTAATTTATTTTATTTATTTTTAGTATTTTGTTTGTTTTGATTAAGATTATGAATATTATTAGAATACTGTTTGTTTTTTTTGTATGGAAAAGATTGTGAAAAAATATTGTTTTTTTGTTGTATTTTATAGATTGTAAAGAACTTCATAATAAGGTATCGTGATCTTTTAGATGCCCAGTCAGTAATATATATTCAGTGCAAGTTTGTTCTCTGTTTATTTTTGCTACAAGTGACTTGTCTAGGACTTTTACATAAGTTAGTCTTTTTTAAGCATCTTCTAAATGCTCTAGAAGGTTTTCAGTAATTTGCACAAATGTTTTACATCATATATCACCTGAGCTTTCGGCTAAGTTTTCATTCTTGATAAACAAATTTTTTTTCTGCAAAGGCGGTGTTTTTTTTTGGTCTTCTTATTTTAGAAACATCTCTAACCTAACTTTTAGAAACATCTCTAACCGAATTTTTAGAAACATCTTTAACCGAACTTTTAGAAACATCTCTAACCGAACTTTTAGAAACATCTCTAACCAAATTTTTAGAAACATCTCTAACCGAATTTTTAGAAACATCCTTAACCAATTTTAGCGATCATTTTAGATTCTTTAAAATTTTTCTATATATTTTTTCTTATTATAAATCTGTTCTATAATCTTTTTATAAATCTTACTAAATTTAAAAAAAACTATTGTTGGCTTTGAACTTTTAATATGAAATGGTTTTAAATTGTATTTCTAATTTGTTTTCCGACTAGTTTCTAATTTCTTGTATTTAAATAAAAGTAGTATGGCTTGATTTACCTGTTACTATATTAAATACTGTTTTATGATTTATATATATGCGAAAATAGATTTTTTTTATTGAGTAAAAGTCAACCGGTGGGTGAACCGACAAAGGGGAGTTTGGGGAGGGGACATTGAGTAAAAAACTTAGTATACTTTTAACTTTCGATAAAGTTTATAATGGTTGATGAAATTTATTTTAGCCTCATATTTTTATTTAGAAAGAATTTCAAATATCATTAAAAAATGGAGTGTCTATTCGCTCGTTTTTCACGTGCGAATAGACTATATTTAATTATAATCTTTTCGCACGTTTGATTAAAAAAGATAAAGATCATCGAATTTGAAAAAATTAGATTTATTATTATTGGTTTTTAACTTTAAAATTACGAGTGGACTACTAACGCAGTACTTACGTTGACTGATTTTTGAAGGGTATGCGCACCGTAGTGTATATACATATTGACTGCTTATCTAGGGATAGGCACAGTGTTTTATAAATACTATAATGAGGGTTTTGGCTTGGGCAAGAAATCTTTTAATTAAAAAAAGAAGTATTTCTTCATGTTTATTTTATCTATTGTAACGTTTATGTTTGTTTTTGAATAAAAATTTAATTATGTTTAAGTAATTTTATTTATTTTTATAATAATTGATTAAAGAAATTAAATTGTTTTCAAAATATGACTTAAGTTGTAAACATTTTTTTGTTTGTAAGAGATTTCATATTAAAAATATGAATTTTTTTTTTAAACTTGCGAATAGACTATAATAAGATATAGAATCTAATAAGATATAGTCTATTCACATGTGCGTACAAATAGACTCCTCCTAAAAAAAATTTGTTTGTTAAAGGTTTGTTGAAGTTTAGGCTAAGATTAGGTGCGATGTTTTTTTTTTTTTTCTTTTTTCTCTTTTCGCAAGACAAATTTCAAATTTTATTTCAGAATAAAACTTTCTTTTTAAATTTTTAGATTTTTTCAGGATTAACTTTATCTCCAATAAAAAACATATTTTTATCTCCCACAAAAAAACATATTTTTATTTTCAATAAAAAAATATAATAAAGCAAATTTAATAATCTTATAACAGATGCTTTTTATTGATTTTTTTCAAATACAATACAAAAACATAATCTCAGCAGAGTTATTTAAAGTTGATTAATTAGGAAGTTTTTTCCAGGATTAAATTCATCTCCAATAAAAAATATACTTTTATCTCCAATAAAAAATGCATATTTATCTCTCAAAAAATATAATTAAGTTTATTTAACAATTTTATAACAGAAGCTTTTTAATTTTTTTTAGCTTTCCAATTCAAATTTTATATTTACCTAATGTTAATTTGTTAAGAATTTTAATTTTTTTTTGGAATTTTAGAAGTCAATTCAATAAATGGGAACTCGCAGAATGGAAACTTACAAAGTGGATTAAGCAAAGCTGAAGAAAGTCAAAATGAAGACAGAAATAGATATGAAGAAACATTGCTTGCTAAAAACAAAAGCGAAAAAGAAATAAATCAGCAACTTCTAAATGAAATCAAAAAACTTTTAAAAAATGAAAGTGTTGAAACTTCTCAAGATGAAGAATCTAACCATGAAGAGAAAGAAGAAGAAAAACTAGGCACTAATGTTTACGATTTTTTAAAAAATACAGACGAGTTAAAAACATTTTTAATAAAAAATACTAATGGAAAGTCTAATTCAGAATGGATTAAAAAATTTTCAAAGCTAGGGACTGAGTTTCCGCCCAATCCAGTTAAGGAATCAAATTTTACCTATGCTAATTCAATTTCAAACATTGCAAAGATAGACGAAAAAACAAATTCAAAAACAAATTTTATAAATGAAGGTAACACAAAAGATGCCGCAATTAACGATAATGAAATTAAACAGGACAACGAAAGGCTGGATGAAGAATTAAATGAAATTGAACGCCAGAAAGAATTACTTAAAGAGAAAGAAAAAAAATTACAAAAATTGAAAGAAGAAATTAAAAATAAACAAACTAAAATTAACTACAAAATAAAAAATAAAGAAATAAAAGATAAAGAAAAATCGGACTCTAATCAAAAAATTAAACAGAATATTAATGAATCTAAAGAAAAAAACTTAAAACAAGTTTCAAGTTTATTAGAGTCACACACAAATGCGCAGCAAGGACTTTTGAATAACGAAGAACAACAATACTTAAGAAAAAAGTTACTTAGAAAAAATCGTTTAAACCTAAAAAAATATGACTCTGAAAATACCGAAAAAACTAAAAACAAACACTCTAAATTGATATTCACTTCCGAAAGAAGAACATCGGATTCTTCATTTGACTCTGCAAAGCAAAACTCTTTGAAACTACCAATTAATAACCCAAAACCAAGCTTATCTGATTCATTTGTGCCCCACGCAAAGTTTTACAATGATAATGATAAAGCTAACGAACCGAATAATGTTATAAAAGAATCCAGTAATGATGTGCAAGAAAAACCTTTATTTTTCTTAAAAAAATTTGATTCTAATTTAGAAAATTCGTGGATTTCAAACCGTCATAACCTCATTTCCTCTGCATCTACAGATGCATTAGGTGAAACCAAAGACTTTATTTTAACAACGACAAAAGATAATAAAAATGATAAAAGCAAAGAATTAAATAAAAACATGAATGAAATAGGAAAAGCCTCCTTGATTTCGCCAAGTAATCTTATAATTAGAAATAACACTCAATATATTCAAACATACAATCGTGTAAGCGATAAATCTTCAGAAAGGCGAAAGTTATCAGAAAATCAATCTCTATTAAATTTTGCATCTCTACGTATTCCTCAAGATCGTAATTTTACTACAATTGATGATAAAACCATTAAAACTGACGAAGATATTAGCAGAAAAAGGTTTATAAAACCAATTTCCATCAATAAAATGGTTGATGTTGCAGCCTATAAAAAAAGTTTTAGCGAAACTCCTGATAATTTAGATATCAATGAAGATACGCCAGAGTTGTCTTTGAAAGAAAAAGTGAATGAAACGCTTCACAGTGAAGAACCTGCAAATTACACAATGGAGTTAAGACCAAACTTAACATCAGTATCAGAAGATAACACCAATAAAACAGAAAGTCAACTTTATAAACCAATTATTCCTCAACATGCTGTTTTTAAAAAGAAAAAACATTCTAGGAAGTTCCATCACTTAACACCACGCGTGATGAAACACTTTACACCTCTAATAAATGAAAGAAATGTCATTGTCCCTGATTTAACTTACAAAAAGTTTACAGACAACGCTTGGTTCAAAGATGAAGAAAATGATGACACTGATCCAGCTGATATCACGAGATCAATCCTCCCAAAAGTTGATTTTCATTTTAGGAAAAATATTTCAAATAAAATTCCAATAGAAGCTGTATTTGATATTATAGGCTCAGACAATAATAGAAGAGATAGTATTCTTAATATTCCTGTTGAAATAGTTAGAGATCCAATTGAAGTTCTTAAAAACAATAAAAAAATACATATTGAAATAATAAAAACTTTTCCCAACCTACTCCGCAAAATAGACAAACCATTAGAGGCGAACAATGATCGTGATAAAATAATACTGTTTAATCTAACAAATACTAAAGATATTAAAACTAATAATTAAATGATAAACTATATCAACTTTGAAAGTAGATAAAAAATATCGATAAGCATTTTCAAATAAGAATTCAAATTTAGTAATTATCACCCGTAAACATTATTGTTGATTTCAATATAAAGTAAATAAATTGTTTTTAATATAAAGTAAATTGTTTTTAAAAGTTTGTCCAAAACAAAACGAACAATCTGCTCAGATTTTATATTAAAAGATGAAATATAAACAACGAAAGGAAGATTTAAAAAAAAAATTGAATACAAGGAAACAACGAAAAGGAGATTGGATACAAGGTTGCCGGGTTTAATCTTGTACAGGGTTCCAAAAAATGTTTTCCACATTGAATACAAACAACGAAATGGTAAAAAAAATTGCTTATTATTAAAAAGTATTAAAAAAGGTTTGTTATTAGCTGGATTTACATGAGGAATTCTTAATGATTGTTTTAAAGGGAAAAAAAGAAAATATTTACAAAGAATACTAAAACACACACACAAAAAAACACATTGTAAATATTTGATTAAAAATTTATATTATAATAATTGTAAAAATTAATGTGTAATAAATGTGCTGTAAGAATCTTTTTTATTTATTTTTTTAACCCTTTAAGGTCTAAGAGTGGAAAACGCTGGTGTTACACATATTTCGATATATCAGGGTAATTGTTACCATAGAAACTGAAATGGGATTAATATGTCCCGTCAGGTCATAAAAGCTTCTTTTTAAAGTTTTTTTTTTTGTTAAATAAAGAAAAGACAAAATGTTTGTTATTAAACACATTTCAATTAAATTTATCTAAATGTTATGATATTTCGAAAAACAATATTTTTTTATTTATGTACAAAAAAACCATACAAGTGGTGCATTTAAAATGTGGTCTTGACTCAATCTTTTCTTTTGAGCATACTTCACATCTTCCACGGTAAGTTTCATAAAAAAGCCAATGAATGCCTTGATTTCTCCTCTAATTGACAAAGGTACTGAATAATTAGAGTTGCGGCGTTTTTTTGTTGATAAAGATAAGAAAGATAACGTTTCTTTGTTGATAAAGAAGGTGATAACATTGGTAAAGAAGGTGATAACATTGATAAAGAAGGTGATAACATTGGACTATTGTGAAAAAGGTGATAACAATCGTTAATCCTATTAATTTATAATTAAACTTTAATATATTGCAAGATTTTAATAATTTTCACTCTTTAGATAAAAAAATCTATTTTCTCACAATATTTTAATCATAATAATTGGATGAAATTTCATCATCAACCATTAAGTTGATAATCTCAAAAAATTCCCTACAAGAGTCACCCAGTCATTCCAATAAACAAGACCGTATAACATTATCATTACAATTATATTGACTAACCTTTCATAATTTTTATTTATTGAAGCTGCAGTCACGTTCTGGTTATTTCTAGTTCATTTTAATCATCAGCATGCAAATAATGCCAACAGTTATTGCTCATCTATTGCAAATCATTAGAAATATTCTCAACCCTTATGCTGCATTAATGCAGTTTAATGTAAAAATTTACATTAAACTGCATTAATGTAAATTTTTCACCACTTAACTTTTTATAGACCACATAAGCATTACATAAAGTACGCTCAAGAACACCAAAAAATATTTAGTGCCACCATTTCTTTAATGATTAGTCTACACCATAAATTGAACAGTACATGTCTGCCTTGTCCGCTCCCCATATATAAATTGTAATCTTTGACAGCAGTAGGATATGAAATAATTTGTACACTACCATCTTTATTTTTACGGTTTATTGTATTTGCATCATTACCTTGGAAATTAGAGATGATATGCACAGACCTATTGTCACGCCATTTAAAGACTACAATACCATTTTGAGAAACACTATAATCAAAATAACCTCTTTTCTGATCTTTGTCTCTTTTTAAATCTTTGTGAAGATTTTTCTTGTTTGTTCGTAAAGTATCTCAGCATAAAATATTTTTTGATTGCAAATACTCAAGTAAAGAAATAGAAGTGAAAAAGTTATCAACATATATTTCATGATAATGACCTTGTAAGCATCAAAAACAATTTTATCCCCTAACCCAAAATTGAGTGGAATGTCATTAAAAATTGTATTGCTAAAGGTATGAAAAGAATCGTACTTTCAGCAATACAATTTTTTATGAGAAATATTATATAACAAATTTTTTGTTAAGTTTGTCTAAAAGCCGTCTTAGTTTGAACAATTCATCACGATTGTTATTTGGCATAGCATTGTTATCATTGACATAAAGGTATGAACCTGGTACTTTTTTTGACATTGTAAAGCATATAAGTTATTATATTATTAACAAAAAATAGGATCAACTATTTCTTGGTTAAAATATTTCATGAACAAGTCAATTATTGCATTCAGCAAACTGTTCTTTTACTGGACCTATGAAGTATAAAGTATATATTTAGTAAACAATGTATGTTCAAAAATTTAAAGTACATAAATATTGCAAAACTTTTAAAAAATAAAATTTCAATTTTTGATGACATTCCACTCAAATTTACATCGAGAAATTATAATAAAATGTAAACCTTGTGGAAATTAAAAGGTAAAACTGTTATTTTATTTTTGTAACTTCTTTAAGCTCCTATCATTATCAATATCATTTTCATTTTTAGAATCTATTTTTTTATTTTCATCGCCATTACCATCATCAAGCAACTCATTATCTAAATAAAGTTAATAGTTTTCATCAACGACTGAACCATTTTCAATTTCAATAGGATCAATATTAACATCTCGTTCAATATTGGAGTCGAAATCAGATGATTCTGCTTTACTGGAATCACCAGAAGAAGATTCATGCAATAATCACCAGAAGAAGATCTTTTGTAAAATTATTTCAGCAGCTTCTATAGCACTGTTTCGAATCTTACGACTCATATTTGATTATCACTTTAGTTTTTTACACTTTACTCTAAACAAAAAATATGTTTGACCACAGTTTTTTTACACTTTACTACTCTAAACAGAAAATATGTTTGATCACAGTTTTTTACACTTATTTGGCTTTGAAAGTTATAGGCCGTAACGCCGGACGGGACTTATTAGTCCCACTTTATTTTTCATAATAAACTAGTGTATGCAAAACTTTTTAACACTTAAACTAAACTTCAAATATTTACTTACACTTTAAAGAAGCTCTAAAAAAATTCCCAACATAAATAAAAGTTTGCAAAGTTAAATATAATAAGTTTGCTATGACAAAATAAATATGCTTAATTTCCTTAAAAACCATCATTAGAGATCACATCTAAAATGAAAAGTAATTGATGATAAACAGTTAAATGAAGGAGGTTTATTAAACCTCCTTGAATTAAATATAATTTTAAAGCAAGACTAAAAACCAAGTCAAAAGTAACGTAATGTTTTTACAGCAAAAAAAAACAACCAGTTTAAGAAAAAGACAGGAGTTAATGCAGTGGGACCATAGCCGTCTTTACTAATAGGACTCGTAAACGCGTATATAAAGGCCTGAAGCTGGGGGCCAACAATATTCTAAAATTATTTTGTTTAACTATTGCAAGCGTCGTCTTTACTAATTTTTAATTAAAGTACAACAATTATCTAGTTTATAGATACAAAAAATGCCTAAAAAATGTTGTGACGAACTGTATTACAGATTGTCACACAACATTTTTTCACAACCTATTATTAATAGGTTATAATACCTGCAAATTTATCACATTTTAGTTTAAACTTATACCAACCAAATGTTGTGTTATATTTTAATCTTTTACTGCAAATTTCACACTTCGGTTCGGACAATGGACGAAACCATTCTTTATTCTACTTGATCATCAAGCTTGATAAAATTAATAAATAATAAATAAATAATTAATAAAGAATAAGTTTATAAAATCAAGTGGATGGATTTTCATTCACACAAACAACATTGTCTCTTGACTATATAAACCAAAACATGATGGTCCACACTATAGTTTCATAATTATAATAAGACTTTGATTGTAAATTTTATATATATATATAAATAACTTTAAATGATTTAAATATTCATCTCTAATCCACCATTTTTATATAAAATATGCAATGTAAAGTAATGTACACAATGTAAAAAGACGTTTAAAAAACTTGTGTATTAATCAAATTCTTATAAATTCTTATAAAATATGTTTGGGAGTATTTCTAAGTATTGTTGGTAAAATATTGCGCAATTCCTCAAGGCTCCTTGGTGCTTTCTTGGCATTCTGTTTATCAAGCCAACTCCAAAGATTTTCAATACAATTTAGATCTGGACTATTTGGTGGCCAAGTAAGACGCTCAATATTTTTGTTTTCGAACCATTCAGAGACAATTTTAGCCCGGTGGCATGCTGCATTATCTTGCTGAAAAATGAACGGAACGCTTTGCTCAAGTGCATCAATTGATGGTAACAAGTTATTATTTAAAATATCGACGTAATAAATAGAGTTGAGTCGACCATCAAATAATTTAAACATACTAAGACCATAATATGTCATGCAGCACCATATTCCGACCGACCCGCTACCTTGTTTTGTTCTTTGAACGATACAATCAAGATCATATTTTTCGGAAGGCTGCCTGCGAATCATAATTCGGTTTTTTCGGTTATCAACCTCGATATTCATCTCATCACTGAACATTACTGTCCTCCATTTTCCTTTAGACTATTCTTTGACACTTTAACAAAATTCTTTTCGCTTTTTTATATATTGTTTGTTAAGCCTCGGTTTTAGAACAGCTTTTTTCCATAGCATATTGTTAGCTTTTAGTTTCCTACGCACTACAAGTGATGCCGATGCTTGACATCAATTAGAAAGCTTCCATTCCCTTCTTAATTCATGCGACGGCATAGTTCGATTTTTCTTTGCCAACCTGATTAAAAAACGATCATCATTGGGTGTCGTCAATCGCGGTCTTCCAGAACGATGGCGATCAACGTAAGATTTCGTCTCTCTGAATCTTTTAATGATTGTTAGCACCGAACTATGTGATCGTTTTATTATTCTTCCTATTTCACGAGCGGTTTTACCTTCCTGGTGATAATGCATTACTTTTACACGATCTTCATAGGTAATAGCTTTTCTGCTCATTTTTTCAAAAGAAGAGAGTTTTTTTTTGTTTGAAATTAAATACTTTTTTTAAATACTTTTGGTTTTTTGGTAATCACTCAGGTCATTAATAAAATGTTTAATTAAAAAAGGTAAAAATCCATTAAAAAAAGCCGTTTCCACCGCATTTAGCTTGTGAAAAATTTAAGATTCCTTGTGGTTCTTAACTTTTTCACAAAAAAAAATATTGAAAAAATTAATACATAATATTTAATCCTTATTTTTATAGGTTCTTTTAATTAATTTTCGAAAAAAAAATTTTTTTCTTTTTTCTCATGTTCTATTTAATGTGTGAAAAAAAAAGAAGACTATTTTGTTATCTTTAGAAGAAAAATTAATTAATTTTTTTTTCTTTAGTGGTTCTTAACTTTTTCAAAACACTGTATATATATATGTATATTATATATATATATATATATATATATATATATATATATATATATATATATATATATATATATATATATATATATATATATATATATATATATATATATATATATATATATATATATATATATATATATATATATATAACAAACTCAACGTTAAATCAATATTATGCATGTCCATTAGTGTTGCTGTACATTATCAAGGTCAGGGGCGGATCTAGGATTTTATATAGGTGTAGCTAAAATTTATAAAATTACGTCATAATTGCAACTATTTAATTAGTTGGTTAGTCTACGTCAAAAAGACGTCCGATAATTACGTCATGTAGACGCCGCCAGACAGTTTTTTTATCTGAGCGTCTTTAATTCAATTTTTGGACACATATTTTTCATTTATTTTTAATGGATTCTAGTAAAATAATTAATGGTAAAATTTTTAATATTTGCCTTGGCTATTCTGTTCGTAATTTAGACATAATGTCTAACTTACTTAACGAAGTGCACCAACTAGAAGGTAAGCCATAGGACTTTGCACTACATATGTAAGTTGTAACGCTGCCTTAAGTTAGCTCTTCAATTCTGGATTCTTTCCTTTATATTTTTGTTACTAATAGAATAAATGCAACTATTACTGCATTAACAATATGATATCGTGATTTATTCAAAAGATATTTACTTTAAAGTTGTATACTACTATATAAAAATATATATTAAAAAAAAAAGATTTGAACAGTCTCACTATCACTAACAGTACACACATTTAAATTTTTTATTTAGTGGTTTACATTATTTAGTTAAGAACAATTTTTAAAATATTTAACATTTTAGATGCCAAGGATTATGAAATTTACACAAAATAGAAAATAAATTCATTTATTAAACATTTATAACAAATAAAAAATAAGATGCTCTAAGAGAAAATTAAACAATTAAAAAAAAAAAAAAAAATGATTGTAAATATAAGAGATATTCAATTATTTTATTCACACATAAATATAATTATTTTTCAATCATAGCCAATTATTTAAGGCTTGAATAGCAACTTTAAACATCTCTCTCCAGAAGCTGAAAAATTTTTGTCAACCCTGTCTTTATCTAGAACCATTTCGGTATAAATTGATATTAAAGCTAGGTCATTCAATGACTTTTTTAACACTCGACTTCTTGACTAAGTTTTTAATCTCTTGGGACCTAGATTTAAATCTTTAAAATAATCAAGAATGTTGGGGGGGGGGGGGAAGACAGACGTTGTCATGACTTTTGTTTAAAAAATACTAGATGGGGGTTTTGACTGATCTTTCTGAAGAGGCTCCCATAATCTTAGCATTTGCAAATCTTAGTTAGTTTTCAGGTAACTTAACATAACAGTTGGAACTGCGAACATCCCATATAAACCAACTTGCTTTTTGTTTGAAATCTTATATAATTAATAAGCTCATTAATAAGATGGTCCAGCAAAGGTAAAGTGATAGAAAGCTTAAAATAATCAGATGATGAATGATTATCATGATAATTTGCTATCTACATTTTCTAGTTTTTTGTTTTCTTTTACATTTAAAGTCATAGCTAATTCAAAAGCAATATTAGAAATTTTTTACAATTATTACAAATTTTATTACAAATATAGTCCGTTAAAATAATGTTAAAAACATACCTTAAAGCTTACTTAAAGCTTCAAAAATTTTGTCAAAACCTTGATCCATTTTAAAATATGGCATAAAACATTTATATCAGGGCATTTTCAAACCAAAAGTTTAACTACGAAATTAAACTGGTGAGATATTCAAACCATTTCGTTTTGTAAACAATTTTTTTCCCAACATTTTATGTTATGAATGTGAATTAATAGCGATTGGAATAGTTTCTTTTCGAAACATATCCGCCATAATTACCAACTTACTAAGATAATAATAAAGGCGCTTTGGTTATTTGAAAATAGATGGACTGGGAAATAAGTACAGCCACAAGGCAAAAAGCAATCTAGCCACGGGATACGAGTGTTAACGGCATACGACTTTTGAATAAAAATATATTAGTTTGAAAAAAAAAATAATTTAGTCAGCTTATGCCGTAAAATCATGTCGCTTGTGGCTTAGCCACAAACCGATATGCAATAACCGATCTTTTTTTTAATTCCGGTTTTTTTGGTTTTAAGAAATCGCTTTTACACTTTTTTTGGTTTTAAGAAGCCGAATTTACACAGCAAATAAAAATAAATTTATCTTAATTATTTATATTATTTTTATCTTAAAAATATGTTGGAGTATTACATTGTTTTTTATTTTTTTGATTATATTAACGTGTAGCCTTAGCCACAACGGCTATACCCTAGATCCGCGCCTGAAAGTATATTATGGATATTAAATCTATTCATAGTCTATACTTAGACTATTTAGAACTTTTTCAGTCTAGTTTAGTTAAAATAGCTAGGTATGATTAAAGAAAGATATAAAACTTGTTTTATTGAAAAATATATTTAAATATTACATATATTTACATATAACTGAATACATTAGAAGAAGCTGTAAATAAAAAAATATAAAGAAAAATCAAAAAAGGAAGATTTGAAAAAAATAAAATGAATGGAAAAGTGTTTTAACTTATAAAGGTATACCTTTTTCAACGCCATATAGATTAGTGTTCTAAAAACATATTTTTCCACCTTTTGCCCTTCATATCCATGGAGACCATATAATTTTTCGAAGATACTCTGAATTTTTAAAAGATAATATTACTTTTAGATGGTTATTAATAATTTGTTCAAATATTTAATTTAAATAAAACAATCTTTTTTCAAAATAAATTAATAATTAAAATTTTCGGGGTGGTCACATAAAATTTTCATAAGAAAATTTCATGTGGCCATTTATTATTGGTTTAACGTCCATGTTTATACACTTATGGCGCTTGAACAGTGGTCAAATAATGTCATTTTTTATGTTAAATAGCATGCATGATTATAAATGAGGTTAGAGTCCAATACTGTTTTTGATTACCTCAGGAAATTCTCTATGTTTATGTTTTCTTTTTCGTAAATCAACATTCTCATTATCACATTTTTATTTTGTAGATGTGAATTCAAAATTTTCACAACACTGTTTGCTTTATGTGGAATCGAAGTAGTTATACGAATAGTTATATATTTTGTATCAACAAAGTAACTCTTCTTACCACATTATTTAAAAAATAATAATTGTAATATAGATGTAATACCTGAAGAGAATTTAGTACTTTAGTTGGTAAAAATACAAATTTTACGCTCTCCTTCCCCCCATTAAATTCTCTTTGGTACGTAACTAATTATTAGAACAAAATAAAATTGTCCGATCATTAAATTGTTTATTAAATTGTTTAAACATTAAAGTACTAGTTTATGTTTAAATACTTTACGAACTTTTTTTTGTGTATTTAGAGAAAATTAATAGGAATAAATTTGTTAAAAAAAATACTACGATGTACATTGGCCGCAACGTTACATTATTAAGGCGAGTTTCCACTCATCCGTTTTTCAACGGGAACGGGATAGGAAAGAAAAAAATAATCACGTGAACATTCGTTTTTATTTGTCTGAAAGAAAACTGCGCATGCTCACGTGATTATTTTTCCGTTCCCTTTCCCGTAGAAAATGAGTGGAAACTCACCTTTAGAGGAGGGGGAAGGGGACAGGCAAAATAACGAATAAAATTAAACTATTTAAAAATGCCATTGAATCAACAACAACATGCCAAGCCCAACAAAAGGAGGGCTTGGCATGCTCGTCTCCTGTTGCTGCGCCTTATATACTTAAAACAAATATCTTTCTAATTTCTATACTTACTTAATAATTATTTTTATATTCTTATTACTATGTATTTAAAATAGAAATTCTACATTGATGTCTGACACATTTGGCGTTTATGGAAAAGTAAGCAACTAAATTGGCTTGAATGGAATGAATAATTCCTGTAGGTTACGTCTGTAAAAGCTGTATATTTTTACGAATGTTTTAATTGTGTAATAAGGAAACAGTTTTTCATTTTTTTCAAACTCATCATAATTGATCATTTGCGATTTATTTAAATTTACGCCATAATGAAATTAACTGTGGCAATTTCGATCCTACGATTTTTGAAAGATCTGCTGTCTTGATTAAACTAAGTTTAAGTTAGTTTAATCTAGACAGTATAAAATAACTTAAAATTAATTACATTACCACCAAAAATTTAAACACAACGCTATTTAAAATCTATAGTATCAAAATTAATCTTATAACTGATAATAAGTTACACAACTAAAACTTTAAAAAATCAATAGAACTTACAAGAAGGTATTTAGCTTATTTTATACAAGTTTTATAAATCATTAAAAATAAACATAGTTTATTTTGCATGATGAAAACTCTTGGTATCGATTTCGTGGTGGGGGAAAGCAACAATGATGGTCGTAATCTTAATGTTAAAAACGACGAAGTTAACAGCAGCCAATATGAACATAATAAAAGAATACGAACGCTTTAATCATCGTGGTTGAAAGAATATTCTTGGCTTCGATACAGCAAAGTATCAGAATTATATACGGTTAAGGCAAAAAAGATTGTTAAAAGCAGTCTGGAAGAACTAGACAACAAGCGAAAAAAAAGTAAACAAGTTGAGGATGATGAAATTCAGGATATCATGAATTACTTTAGATGCCGTGAGAAGCATTACCACGCTCATCAGTTAACAAAAAATCACACACCAACAATAAAAGAAATCAAGCAATATCCGTTCGTATTTAGTGCTACTTCTTAAAGCGAGTTTCCACTCATCCGTTTTTCAACGGGAACGGGAAAAATAATCACATGAGCGTGCGTATTAAAAGTTTTTATTTGTCCGAAAGAAAACTGCGCATGCTCACATGATTATTTTTCCGTTCCCTTACCCTTTCCCGTAGAAAATCGGATTAGTGGAAACTCACCTTTATAGAATCGAGATCAGTATACGGAATAATCCGTATACGGAATAATCCGTGGATACGGAAAGTATCCGTATGTCCATTTATGGATGTATCCATCGATTATGTACGGAAATTTTCCGTATTTGTAGCTAAATTTTCAACTACGGAAATTTCTGTTGTATTTATAACTGAAAATACATGTTGAACTACCATTAGTGAAGATTTTTAGAAGTTATTTTTATGTACACATTTATTTCCAAAAATAAGTTCTAAAGTTTCACCTGCAGGGCGAAGAAAGTTCAACAGGCATTTTAATATAAACTGTTCTGTTCTTTTTAATTTTAAAATTACATGAGCTTTGTTTGGTCCCTGGATTGCTTAGAACGAGAATAAGTTTATTAGGATTCTTGACACAAGTTTTGTACATTTTTATTTAATTTTGAGTGATTTTAAGTTTATGGAAGTGCACTCACATAACATGTTATATAGAAAATGGATCATTTCAAAGCCAGGGAAAAAGTTCACTTGATAAAATATGTAGCTTAAAAATAGTAAATTTTAAAATTGCACTACTTAAGCATTAGTGTTTCCTTATGATAA